AGCTATGAGAGTGTCTGTTTACATCACATGAATCCCACTCACAATGAAATTGCACTGCAATGAATTTCATTTTTAGGACTGGGAGTTAGCTTAATTTTTAAGCATCTGACATTGTTAAAAGAGCTTTTTTGTGTCGTAGCTTTAGTCTGCTGACAATGTTCCTTCCCTTCTGTGCTTGCCAGGTGAGCTGACACGGAGAAAAACTTAAGCATTAGTGTATCTTATTAGACATCAGAAAGTCAGTGTGGAATGGCATGTTGCAAATGCCACAAGCCCAGTGTAAGCTTCAGCCTGGGCACAGACATCTGAAAGCTCAGCTATAAACAAGGAGGCCCATGGAAATGGAGGTTTCTGTTTCTGTGCTGAGAAATGGCTTGAAATTTTGCCTTGTCTACCTTGTACAGTTAACAGTTCTTACAGATTACAAGTCATATACCAGGAAGAAGCTTATGCAAAGCGCCTGTAAAAATAACAGTGCTGTCCATACCATGTGCTTGATTCTTCACTGGTGGTGGACAGTTGCACCTAGAAGATGGCAGCCTCAGTCGTTCCTCTTCTAGAAGGCAGGTTTTACTATTTCGGATACCCACTGCAGGAACAGATACACTAGGAATTAAGGCTGTAACAGTTTCACTATTTGCACTGAATTTCTCTTGTTTGCTTGTTGTTGTTTCTTTATTTTAAGCTGAATTCATTTTTCATATTTATGAATGCATTCAGTTAAATACATTGATGTAAAAATGTTTTTGTTTGTTGAGAAGATATAAGCAGCAGTGAATGGTTGCATGCACTGCCCGTAAAATATGTGACCATGCATACAGCCATAATACAAATGGAGAATAAATGTGCCAACACCAGGTTCTATATAAGATCATTCATTTATCCACCTCTGTATTCCCTTGAGTCCGATGGACTAGTCGCAGGCATAAACTGTAGCTTAAAGCTGTTTTCTACACCATTAAAGTATCATTGATAATTGATGCATGATGTTAATGTCGTCACAGGGAGAACAATGGATGCAACAGTTAAAGCTGCATTCCTTAAAAATGTTTCAAAAATTAGATCTAAATGAGAAAAATGCTGATGACTGAAATATTCTCAGGGAAAGGAGTCCTCTTCGTTAAACTGTTCTTTGGGAGATAAAACTTGTTCCTCATCCAATAAGTAAGATTTGAATTTCCTTGTACCATAAAGCATTTTTTGTGATCATCACATTTTCATATTCATCAAAAAATCATTGAACCTATACCTTGCAATTTGGATTGGGGTGAGTCTGGAAATAACGTCCCTCCCAGGACTAGTGATAAGATATCCGACTGTGTCAGACTTATTTACAGAATTTTTCTGCGAACTTATACTCCCAAAATGTTATTTATCTAAAAAATTTAAAAATTATTAATTATCTGCAAAAGCTACCATTTCTGTATATTTGCAGTATACCTAATGAATCTTTCAATGAAAAGCTATTCGTGTTTCTACACATGTCTGTTTCCCCCCAAATGTGCAGAGCAATTAAAACAGAATATGGGCTTACCCAGCCCCAGGCCTGAATTTCATCACTAGGATGTATTTTGACCAATACAAGTTCAAAGTAAAATCCTTTGACATTTTACTTCTAGATTTTGTATAATATGTTCAATAGCTATTTGAACATCTTTATATTGTAAGGGAATACATTCACAACTGTGTGAGGTCTGTTTTTATACACTATGAAAATAAGCTTTGCTCAGTGGAGCACAGCTCTTCCATACCAGCTGAGAAACCGACTAACTGGAATTTTACAATGAAACTTCTAGTCCTAATGTTTGTGTAAAAGCTGTAGCAACTTTGGTGAGAAATCTCAGGTGCTGAAATTGATGACTGTCTCTTGAGATCTTAAGGTGTGAAGAAAGATGATAACAGAGCCTTGGTCTTTTCTTTAAGTGCAGTGGTTGCCACTGAAATGAAAGCATTTGTCAAGTTACAGTAAAGACGTAAAGAGAATTATAATTGATAAGCCAATTCGGCAAATATTAGTCTGTAACTTCACAGAAAATAAATCTTTGGGTGCAAAGGGAGTTCTATGCCTCTTAAACTGGAGTCCAGATTAGGGCTCAATGCTGTAAGGGTCTGGGGAACTTCAGGGTGCATTATTCGTGTCATGTTCAGGGATAACATGTCCATCTTTACATCTCTGTGTGGAGTATGAACCAACCTCCTTCTCCATCTGCTAGGGAGGGAAGGGGAGCAGGCTCATGGTCTGCCCTCCGTTGCCCCTCAGCATGATGCCGTATTTGGCCTGCCCTGACCATCCAGCAGGCCCGTGTTGAAACCTTTGTGGATTTTTTTTTTTCTTCCTCAGTGTTTGCTTTCACTATGAGGTCTAAAAGGTGACCTGTCATAATATTCTTCCATCTAAGTGGCTTTACTTTCTGGGAAGTTTCTCAAAACCCAAATTTTTACCATGTCTGAAAATTATTTGCAGTGAAAACTATCTACTTTACATCCTGAGATGACAGAGAAGTGAGTTCATGTCCTCTCTTCTGTTTCTTTTTTTTTTTTTTTTTTTTAAAGCAAACCTGCTGTTGTTTCTGCACGGTCAATATTTGAATAGCTGAGTGGCTACTTAGAGATGTTTTATTTTTGTAGCTACAATATCAACTGAGTTCATTGTAACTGGGTTGGACTTCTTAATGTTTGACCTTTCCCAGATGAAGCCTTTATTAACACTTTTCAGTGTGGAGGCCTGGCAGTCGAGACAGTGACCTTTATTCTGCTGCTGTTTTAGGCAGGGTTTATCACTCTGACGGAACCTAATTAAAATAGAAAAAAATAATCAGTGAGTGATGTCAGTGAGAAACAGAAACAGAGTAAGAGCTTTTACTGGCCACAGTACATCTGTAACTAGCTACAGCTCTTCCCTTTTCTTCACTGATGGAGGGAATGTTATTCTGCCAGCCATTTTTCATTTTCAATGGGTAGGGATAATCTTTCTTAATCCCTTGGAGGGGTTTCTTTGCAATATGTTCATTCTGAACTTTAAATCACTATTTACATAGGGCCAGATTCTGTCATGCTTTTTCCTGACAAATAGTAGCTTTCTCTCTTAAAAATGCAATAGAAAGGACAAGAATGAAGAGAAGTAGGCTCTGTGCTGGATCCTTAACTGATGAAACCAACTATGTGAATTTTCACCTGCAGTTACTTTTTTTCATGAGCAATGACTTAAACTTTTTATGTTATTGTCAAATCCTTCCACTTACCTAGATGAACAGGAAGGCCTGTGGTTCATTTTTTGGAAAACTGGAGAAGGAGAAAGGCCTGCAAGCTATGCAGTTTTGTTTGTGTTCTTTTTCACAGGTTCAACTCCTTGCATTGAAATTAGGAACTTTATGGCCATCCCCATGACACTAAGAATCAAAAAAATCAGTGAGCTTTTTCAGGTGCTGTCTCAGTGATCATGATTCTCACCAGAAATTGATATAATCAGTTAAATAAACACTGCTGTCCTTGACTTTCAGATTGTAGTAATCCTCAAACTGCAGCAAAGTCAGTACTATCCAGATAGCCAAATTTAAACAGACTTATCCTTAAGATCAGAATAATTCTTATATTAGCTTATGCCAGACCATTAACACAAGGAAAAAATTCTCTGCACTTTGCATCTCTGTTTATTTGTTAAGGTCTCCACCTTAACAGAGTGAAGAAGCTCTAGTGCATTACCTGTTTGTCATTTGCTAAAGTTCTTGGTGAATCTCCACCCCTCTTGTTTCAGTCCTGTTTTGTTTATGTTACCTCTTTGTGAAATTAGGATTTGCTGGTTCTTACCAGTTTCTCTATTTGTATCTTCAAAGGTAGATTTCTTGAATGACAGTTTTCAGGTTCAGCTTACTATTTTCAGATTGAGCAAAGCTGACCTTGAATCATTTTCTTTACTTGGCTTGTTATAGTATTTCTGTTCTCATAAATCATCTCAGAGAAACTGTAAATGATAGTGTTCCCCTGCAAGTTCCTGAAGAACAGCAGTAATATTAGGTCTCCTAGTTCTACACTGTGTGGGACCTTTTTTTGCTGAATGTACATCATGTAGGCAATTAAGGTATAACGACCAGAAAGAAGACACAAGAAAGCAAGGATCTTTTAACACTTCAGTTCTTTAGAGAATCACCGTGACAATAAAAATTATTATTTAATCAATTCTGAGTAAAAAACATGGATGCTTCTAATAAGTGTGGCTTCAAAAAGGAGATGCAATAGAATAGCAGCTTCAGTCATTTGAATCTATGCAGACACTGAAACTGAGGATGTCTAAGAACAGATCCCTGGTATGTCTCAAAGGGTTAGTTCACAAAGTAAAGGCACTGACATGTAAAAGGATTAGATTATTTTAACTACACGTTTCATTCAGTTTGTCATACAAGATGGATTCTTTAGTTATAGTGTTAGATTTGTGTAAACTTTACCTTTCCTATTGCTGCTTTTTTTTTTTTTTTTTTTAATATTGGCCACAATTGCAGTTGTGTTCAAAGTATCCACAATTACAAATCCTAATATCACATACTTGCTAATATAGTTGCATATATGTAAGCTTCTCTCATCTGATTTCATTCTGATTTTTTTCAATGTATTTTCTGTTTTTTCTACTAATATCTGTTTTTTCTACTAATACACCAGAGAGGTGCTGACTGACTTACTACTGGTATACATTGTTGAAGAATCTTTTCCAGCACAATAAGATAACTCTTCTTCACCTTGAAGAAGCCTGTTAATTGAAGGAGAGTTATGTATTCAGGCAGCTGTGTTCTTAGATTTGACTAATTACATCCTGTGCAAAGCATGTCTTATCAAGAAACCTGACCCAGTGTCCGTTAAGAGCTCAGATAGTGGTGAACTCTGGGAAGGAGCCAAGAACAGGGGAAACTGAGGATTTTTAACTTGATGTTGGCTATTTCAATGCATTTTGAACAGGAAACCCTTTTCCATGTTAATAATCTAACCCTTTCATATGCTGCTGATTTCAGTTGATGAAGGAGTTTCCTCTGCTCAGCATGTTCAACATCCATGAAAACCTGCTAGAGGCTTTATTGGAACTGCAAGCATATGCAGATGTCCAGGCAGTCTTAGCAAAGTATGATGGTAAGTTCATATGTATTTATGTTTTATCTATATGATACACACAGAAGCAATGTTTCTAAGTCAAACTCTTAAAATTTAGGAAACATTGTAATTAAGGTGACTGGCACAAGCTTCACAGGTCCCCTAACACAGTCCTTAAACCAAAGACTAAACATTGTGCATTTTTTCTGCTAACCTATGCTTAATCAATTGTACAGGGTAATGGAAGTCACTTACTAGCAACTCTTCAGTGCTTTCTTTGCTTTCTGTTGATGTTTAAAGAATGACTATTTAGGTTCTGCAGACTTCTTATTGCATGCTATTCAGACTTTGTCTGAAGAAGAGATTATCAATTCCCTTGTGGACTTTTCCATGAATGTCGATTTAGTAGCATACAAGTGCTTTACAAACATTTGTTGATTTAATTTCACATCAGTCTAGTGAGTAGCAGACTTCATGTCTTATGGGGAAAATTTGGAAAGCTCAGAAGACTAGGTGAACTTTTTGCATTTATTTTCGGTATTCTTTAGTAAACATTGATTTATGCAGCATTGCATCACTTTTTGTGTTCAAATCACAGCTCCTGCTGCCTTCAGCTCTAGCCCTTTGAACTTGAATTCAAGACACCAGGGTCTTAAAACAGAGAAAGGACAGAGTAAGAAGCACCAACTAACATACTTTTTTTAGGTTGAGTTAAATGGTTTTCCTTGTATTGTGTAGAAACTTTGTGACAGAAACAGGAATGCAATTCGGTTCTCTTGAGCAGCGTTCATCAACCTTCACAGTGCCACTCTTCATCCTCTTCCTGCAATTCCTGGCTTACTCACTATCCACATTCAAAGCTCTGCAACAAGTGAATTGAGAATCCTACAGCTATCCGTTTCCTGTTGTGTTACTACACAGTCCTCATTCATCTTCAGAAAAGTCTGATTCTATGCACTGGAGTATGGCAAGGGAGTTTATGAAAGGAATATTATGTAACCATATAACTAAAAATGAGATCATAACACACATGAATAGCTGAAATAAGTGAAACAGGCAGCCTTAATTTCTTAATTTTTTTTTCTAGGCTGATCTTGTAGCCTTTAAAATGTACTTAATTACTAGGTCTTACAGCCTTTGTGTTCTTTGAACAAAGATTTTAAGCCTTGTAACTTACAAAGTTTTTGAAAAGGCAGATGAACATCATTTGAGGTACTGTTTTATACATGGCTACCAATATGGGCTCTGGAGCTTATCTCAACAGTGCTTTGGCCACTCTTCCTCTTTGGTTCTTTGAAGGAATTAGCATCTTTTCCAGCCTGCCCATATTTCATCTTCTGTCTCATTTGTCTACAGAATTGTGTTCTACTTCTCCTCTGCATGGTCAGTTTCAGCTTTGTATGGCTCCCAGTTCATACCAGAGAGGCTCGTTGTTCAGCCAGTACTGCTCATTTCCAGTTCTATTCTTCTGCCTCTCCTAACTACCTATTCCAGTCTTCTCTTCAGGCCAGTCATGGTCATGATACATCTCCTCACCCACTTTCCGACTCATGTCTTACCAGACATCTTTTCCATCTGTCTTTTTCTCTGTGGCTTCTGCCTCCTTTTCATTTGTCATTCTTTGCTTCATTGCTTGGGTGCCCAAAAGCAGAACAGTAAGAGCCCACACAGAGGCTTCTCTCTGTCAGCCCCAGTACTTGGCCCCATATCATCACATGGAACAGTGGCAAGGGGATGATGCATAAGTTTATTGGAGTACTGAGATGTGTGTACTTGACGAGCAAAGGATCTTTGGAGAGTATAACGGAAAAAATTGCAGAAGCTTCTACTGACTATGTGCTAACTGCTTTCTTCTAACATCTTAAAACTTAGGAAATTAAGATAAATTTTAATTAGGCTAGCAATAGACCATTGGCTTGATACTGACTTGATCATACTGCCAAATTTCAGACCCCTGCAGTAGACTGTAGCAGAGTTGAGTTTATCTAACAAAAGATAAATAAGCATCTGATTACAGGCAACATTTGTGATAATCACTGCTACCAGTCCAGCCTGGAATGTTTTCAACTCCTTCTGCAGTCAAATCATTCTAAGCAAAGATCAAAATGTCACTCAGGCCCTTGAGTACTGCCATCCAGTAGCAGTAATGACTGGGAGAGATATTGGTTGTGCTTACTCTGGTTGAAGAAATCTGCACTTCAAGTGTCAACATCGGAGTCTTTCTTGTAGCTTCTTGTATTTCAGTAATCCCTGTGCCACAGGTATAGATCCCCATGGACTTTATTTTGGCATGTTAAGAAGCAAGTAAATAGAAATGCCCATTTTTATGCCCCAGGCACCACAGGACATTGGCACCTTCTAGTCTTTAATGTAGTTATGAGATGATAACCCTGGGAGGTAGCAGAACTGTGACAGAACAGGGAATTAGGCCATGCCCTCCCAAATCTCAAATTAAACTACCGTGCCAGCTCTACTTTTGCATACTGAAGCACGGATCCCTAATTTTAAACAATACCATGGCAGCAGTTTGTGTCATGGAGGTTGATAAAACTGGAAAGTGCATTTTATTTTCCCAAAACTCTGATAGAGTCAAAACTGAAGTCATAAATATAAGAAATGAGGCTTTTCAAAATAAAACTCGTCTTACACTGTCTGTTTGAACCCATGCGGTTTCAACTTTTGCGTTGCCATATATGAACAAAGGTGTGTGTATACACTAGTTATGCACAAGGACTCAGCAAACACAGGCTTTACCAGTATAACTCTTACAGTTCATGAGTCTCAGAAGGCCTGTCTCAGGGAGTCTCAGCTCATTTTAGAACTCATCAGCTTCATGTGTTGTAAGATTTATTGGAATATAAAACAATGAACTCATTTATACTTTCCTATATGCAGTTTCTGTTGGTCCCTCTCCACTGCCTTTTTTTGACTAAGACCAAACCTGATTTATTGTATCTTGATAACATCTGAACAAATTATTTCCTTGAGCAGTTTGCCCCCACCCTGGACTAAAAAGTTGGATCACATTATGTGAAAATCGGCCTCTGCAAGCAGACACACTGCTTAACCAAAAGCCATGTGTTAAATTCTGTTTATATTATGTACCTGGCAACAGAGCTGATGTCCATAGTCGTTATTCATGGAAAAAGGGCCTCATTAGTGGGACGGCATGCACTGTTGCTGCGCTCCATCGTTACAGTTTCAGAGTTCAGCGTCTGTCAATAGAGTGCAGATGACCTAAATACTGTTGAATTCTGAAAGGATTTTTGGCTCTGATTTGACACATATCCGTGTTATTTACAGCAGAAATATTTATGACTGTTAAAGAGACTGTTCTTGATGGAATAAGCTTCTGGTATTCATAGTAGATAAAGTTTCTCTGCTCCTCTTTCCTTGTTTTTGAATGGATTGTTTTCCAGTGGAGCAGGTCTGCCTGTTGTGATGCTTAGAGCAAATTATTTATTAACTTCCCTGGGCAGCCAGTTGCTTTGACTGTTATTATCCAGTAACCTGGGCACTGTGTGAAAACTCAGACCTTTCTGGCAATTGAAAGTCAGATTTTAAAAGAATGGATGCCTGTGTATTTAGTCATAGTGATGCAGTGGTTCCTCCCTAAACCTGTCCTTGTTTTCATGTTTTTTAAATGACCTGTGTTTTCCAGTGAGACTATAAGCCTTCTGGCTTGCAGGAGGAATACCTTATACAGATTCCCTTTTCACTTACTCCCTTGCAAAGAAGGAAAAAGGTCATGTCACCATGTATGCAGAGTCCCAAATTCAGAGTTCACTTGAAAAGATAATTTAGACTGAAGGATACACAGAAAGAAAGTGAGTTTTAAGTAGAAAAGGTCTCATTCTGCTCTAGGCTATGACACTTTTTTTAATTGGTAATGGCTTGCTTTGAAGAATCCTACTTTAAACTAGTGTCAAATCAAAATGCAGGCCTTTGAAGAAACACTTTAGAAAGAGTCTTTTTTATCTCGGAATACTTCCAATTTAGTGAAATCTAAACAGTTAACGTAGAGAAATTAGTTGTCTAAAATGTAGCCTATTCAGGGCCACTGTACTTTCTCCAGTCCCCCTCTGTCCAATTTCTTCTTGTCCTTACAGACTTATGAAATGGGTAAATTCTGCTTACATTGAACTTGAGGGCATTTCTTTTGTAGGGAGTTGCAGATTAATGAACTAGTTGTGTGGAGTGTTCAGTTTTATTAGCCAGGGTCTCCAGAGTTTTGTGTATATGTATGTATTTGAGATCACAGTTCTACTCCATCAGTTTCATTACTTGCCATGATTATGTCTGGTATTTTGAGAAGATGTTCTGTCTGGTGGAGCTAACTGGGTAGATGTTCTAACAGCAAGAAAGGTTTTCTTCTGAGTTAAAGATGTAGTAAGGGGCATTATGGACGCAACCATTACCTCATACCCACTATTTTATAATCCTTTTGTTTCTTTGAAAGAGAGACCTTAAGAGAAAGATCCTTTTAGTTAAGGTCGTATCAAAGCCTAGTATACCTTCTCTGAGAGATGCAAATGAGGCAAGACCTTCAGCTTGTGTAACAGCAGTATCAAGAGAATATTTTTTTTCCCCATTGCATCTTTTTCAGCTTCTGCTTTTAAGAACTAGTTTCTTTCCTCTGTGTTAAAATCACTTGTCACTTCTGCTAGGTCTATGCATCAGTTCTGTGTTTGTTCATACCATCTGGTCTCTTTTTTGCCGTATGATTCTGTGGGATCTTTTTGTTTCTCCTGCTTGTGCAAAAGCACAGAAAGTCTAAACTACCTGTACTAACCTTGCTCTTTCTAATCTCCTGTAGGAGTAATGATTCCTTCCTCTCTCTGTGCATTTAAGATTGAACTTGGTCAAATGAAATAGGCTGACACCTGTCCGGTCACTGAAATATTCATCTCAGCAAGAGTTGCACATGAAGTGTTTACAACCAGCAGTGACCCTCAGAATCTTTCCATAACTGAACAGTTCAAGCTTTAATTGTGGTCATGGCAAAATAAACACTTTTTGTTTGTGCTGAAATGTTTTTC